TGTAGTTTTGTTAATCTGAATCATCAATTACGAAAGACGGAGGAACAGGAAAATAAAAGGCAAAAAGAAGAAAACTTTTTCTGTTCTAAGTTGGCTTTAGCTATGTAAGGTTCGTTGTTGTCAAATTGTTTCTGCTTTGGATTACGAGACACTAAGCTAGTTGACCCAAGCTGACAACTCGCTTATGGACTTGGATTTATTGGTAACAACCTCATAAATATTTGCTGACATTCTGCATATTAACAAGAATTTATGTTATAGTTTGATTACCTAATAACTTAGGACTTTGTTTCTTTTATTACTATTTTTATTTACATCTGGTTAAGTGAATCTTTACTGTTAAAACAGAACTCTTCTATAATCAATTGTTGCGGAATTTAATCTTCCTGTTTGGTTTAAGCGGAGTTTTACTATAAAAGTACTGGTATCCGAGTTTAGCATAGAGCTCTCTCTTTGTATCACATATAAGCAATTTACTTGTACAGAAGCCCCCTGGCATGCACAAAGGCGAAAACATTTTGGGTGTTTCGTTCCTATTGTTGTCATTTGGAAAGTAGCTTACTGAAAGTGAGTATGAGAAATATGATCAAATGGCAAAATATTAATTTTCTTGTAAGGTTCCTTTGGCATCAGAGTCCTGGCTTTGAAAGGTATTGTGGCTTCTACCATATCCGTAGTTTTTAGTGAGCAATTATTTTTCACGTGCTTAAGGTGATGGTAGCATAGGTATTGATCTTTGAACAGGCTTTATCTCTAAAATTTTTGTCTTGAACATTTGAATTGGTCAGATTTATAACTCATTGTAGCTTTTCCTATATGTATTGAATGTTTTCCATCTTTCCACAGATTGGTTATTTCATTCTTATCCTTGTGTAGAATCTTGAGATGCTTGAGAAGAAGGAAAAAGTACTTCAAAAGAAGGCTTCTGCTGAGGTTGAGAAGGCCAAGGACTTCACAAAAGCGAAAAACAAAAGAGGTGCGAACCAAAAATTCTTTATCCCCCGCCCCCTCTGTCGTGCCTGAAAAAACATAATAAACCGAAGTAATAAATGGAATGGGAAAAAAAACTTGGGGTGTCCATTTATAGCTTTTGTAAGCCGTTTCAGTAATGTTAGTGTTTATATTTTTGTAGGTGAATTTGCTTATGGAACATATTTATAACTAAAATAGTATGAACATTATTTACATTCACATTTATGGAAACCATATTTCAGTGAGGCAGTAGTGCAATGGTTACTTTCTGTATTCATTTGAATGGTATAATATTTCTTGTACGGTTTGTAGTTGCAGGGAGAAATTAGTTTTTCAACTTGGTTAACTTGGTTCACCCGGTAACTAGTTTCTCTTGTTGGTTGACGCAATAAATCTCTGTTATTTTTTATGTATGGATCTGTCAAACCACTGTTACCAATTACTTAGTTTAAATGTGTAAGCTTGCGCGAGAGTTCAGCAGTAGTTATTTAAAAACTTAATTTTTTTTTCCTTCCAAATTTAATATTTTAGATTGCCTTCTAATGGGATGAGCATCACTTGCTGATGTAGAACGAATAACAAAGAAAGAAAGAAGAAGGAGAAGGGAGGAGAAGAGAAGGGGGGACCGAGAGGAGAACACAGAGAGAGGGAAGAAGAAAGGAAAAACGGGGCTACAGCCACTTTATTATTCAATCAATTCATCAACTGTCTCAAATACGCAACAAAACAGAAATAAATAACAAAACAAAAATCCTAAAGAGAAGGGTTTGGGCCAAACCCGCTAAACAAGCCCAATAACAGAAATATAAATAATAATTCAAATAAAATATAACTAATAGTCCAAATAGAAAATAAATAGTAAATGATTGTCCGCATCACTTTCTGCCCACATCCTCCCTTAGTGATTTTGCCGAAAGGAAGAAGAAACATGTAGATTAAAGTAATGCATTCATAGTTATTAAACCTAGACCAGATTGGACCGTAGGATAGTAAGATTGATGAGCAACTGAACCGATTTTGAACCTGAGGAACTGGTAGGTTTTCCCTCAAAAACTGTGAACTGGTGCGGTTAAACCAACCCAGTTTTTGAAATTTTTAAAAGTTCTGACATATTTTGAATTTGAATCTTCAACACCTGGGAGATTATTTCCACCACAAACCAACTTATATTGAAATGACTGAAAAAACATTATTACAGCATCAATATATTGTACATGATAAAACAGAAGTCGAAACTCATTCATCATTTTTTGATCCAATTTATACATTTTATTTTATATTCCAAAAATAAAAGGACATTTAATTAATTGAGGAGTTCAGTTAATATTTTTTAAGAAACTTCAATATATACACTTGGGGGTGGACAAAATGACCAGGCCAAGCAGTTTGGTTCGGTTCCACAAAATAATAATAATAATAATAATAATGATGATTTTGTTTTGGTTACCAAGAACCAAACTCAACTTTTTAAAACTTTTTTGTATATATTTTTTTACAAAATCAATGAATCACACCAAAAAATTTAACTATTGTCAATGACTCGTTCGTCTACATTCATCAATCATTGTTATTAGACTATTTTGTATGGGGATGGAACTTGATGTTTGTATATTCAAATTATGACTATGTTTTGTTTGTTAATTTGGACTTTTGTGAATGAATTTTATCATACAATATTTCATTTGATGATTGATAATTTGAAGTTGAATTTGCTGAATGTTTGATCTTTACTCTATTTTTTTTATAGGCATATAATACTATTAGAGATATAGTGATAGATTTTAATTTGCATTTATCATTCAAAAATTTAAGTAATGGAACCAGAACCAAATCAGACAAAACCGGAACTGAACGATTTGATTCCGGGTTGGTTTGGTTTCGTATCTTAAAAAAAAATCGTTGGTTCCATTATTATTAAAAAATAAATAAAATAAATAAATAAAAATTCATAATTGGGTTCGATTCTCTTAAAACCAAATCTGAATGGAATCATGTCCACCCTTATTAATACACTGACCCACGTTTTGGACAAGTGACCCAATGACCTGGTAGCTTGCCTTGGTCAACATACTGGTTGTGGTTAATAACTATGGATGCATTAGTGTTTGCAATATGTCCCTACGCCATCCAATAGAGAGGTAATGCATAAAAATAAGTTCCAAGAGATTCTATTTTAACTTTTAAAATTATAAAGTTCAATAGAGATAGGGTTTGGCTTTCTACTCTATTCTTGCTTTATAATGATTTAATAAGTTGCATATTTCATACTCTACTTCTCAAATTATTCAAACCATATTTGAATTGATTTGCCACATCTAAAAAAATATTTAAGTTAATGAGGAGAAAACAACAAATTTTGTTCATAAAAAGTAAAATAACGAGCCAAAATAGAGAGCATTATTGTAGTTTATAAAAAATTTACTCTCTAAATTTTAAGATGCTCTCTGTTATACCTAAAATGCTTTTGATAAATAGAGAGTCCCTTAATGCGATATTTTAATGCAGTAATAACTAGTCTGCACTGAAAAGAAGTTTCAGCAATTTAGCCTCTGTAATTTTAGTTTAAAATATTTCTGCATGGCTCTTTTTGCTGTCCCAAATCTGTTACTAGTCATCGTGGTTTTCTTGAATCGTTTTGTAAGTTTCATGCCGTGAGAGAATCTTCATTAAACTGAGAAGTCAACTGATGTTAATTTTAAACATTTCTTCGTGCAGCGGCTATACAATGTTTGAAGAGGAAGAGGTTATACGAACAACAAATTGAGCAGCTTGGAAATTTTCAACTACGCATCCACGATCAGGTTAGCCTTGGATTCCCATTTGCATGGTATTGCATATTTGTCAATGAATCAATAAATTTCTTAGAGAAAGTCTCACTTGGAGTTCATACATCAAACGTTTCATTGTTAGATGATACTATTAGAAGGTGCAAAAGCCACAACTGAAACTGTTGATGCTCTAAGATCTGGGGCAGCGGCAATGAAAGCAATGCAGAAAGCAACGTAAGTTGTTGATTTAAACTATGTAGACAATCAGATGTGATGAAATAATTATGTTCCTTTTCTATGGGGTAGAATATCTTTTTATACAAAATCTTGATGTAGAGTAAGATTACATAAACGAACAGGATTTTTGGCAAATTACATATTATGTGCACCTAAATAGTATCTAACCCAATTTTCAAATGGTATCTAACATTCAGGAATATTGATGACGTGGACAAGACAATGGATGAGATAAACGAACAGACAGAGAACATGAAGATGATTCAGGAAGCTTTGGCTACCCCCATTGGTGCAGCAGCGGACTTTGATGAGGTTTATGTCTTATTCCTGTTAAACTGACATTACTGAAGCTTTAATTATATCAGAGTTATCAAGGTCTATCCAATGTTTTATATTTCGTGTACTTGTACATTTGTGCTTAGAAGTGAATATTTCCATTCATTCCAGGATGAATTGGAGGCCGAGCTTGAAGAGTTGGAAGGTGCAGAATTGGAGGAACAACTTCTTCAGCCTGCAACCACCGCCCCAGTTGCTCCAGTACATGTTCCAACAGGCAGAGTGCCAGCTCGCCCTGCTTCTCATAAGCCTACAGCTGAGGAAGATGAACTCGCTGCTCTGCAAGCAGAAATGGCTCTTTAAGCAACGTTTTTCTTTTCTATTTCACTGGTAAATTCAATGTTATCCGTCAGTGTGGAGTTGAAGATATTCAAGTAGATGTGTTAGTGTAACAGTTGATCTACCAGAACTGATTGGGAAATTTATGAACCAGCATTTTCAACTTCGTGGTACACTTAAAATTTCCAACTATATTCTGTGTATATTATGTGAGGCAAATGCTAAAAATACCAGATCAACAGTTCATTTTGTCATGGATCGTTGCTTAGTTTGTGTTTTAATATCTCGAGTTTTCTGTGTCTCGAACACACCCATCCTCGACCTTCTTGGTATGGTGGCCTGATTAGTACCCTTAATGGCTCTATATTGTAAACGTGTTGGGCTTGAAAATGGTCGAAGTAATTGAATTGAAGTTTGTATCATTTCCATTGGAATTTGACTAACCAACTAGCTATCAACTATGATAATTGCCTCCCGGGCATAGCGCAGTGGTGCAAATGACAGGGGTGAGGTTATCTCACGTCTTACAAGCAACCGTAGTGTGGGGGTTCAATTTCTGAGACATGGAATTGGACTCCTTGTAGGCGCAGTGTACATAGAGCTTTTATTCCCTAATCTGTTGGGGTACATCCCGCGATTTACCTTTCTCACAAATCTTTAGGGACAGAGCGGTGGGGTCCCTCAAGGTTGGAGTTCAACCTTTAACTATGATCATTACATTTATCGATTCGATAAATTTTAGTTCTCCATAAGATTTCTTTTACCGAATGAAATTGGATATTATACTTTTATGTAGTTTTATTTAGGCATTTGCACTTTTTTTTGTTCAATCTTAAACTATAAATAGATTTCTTTACGCTTGTGTCTGGCTTCAAAATAATCGATACTAGGGATGGCAAGTTAATTTATTAATTTAAGAATATTGTGCCTTGTCAACCACAAATAGAATAACAGTGTCGGCATCAAATATTACATTGGTAAAAATCAATTAATCAAACTTATCACGTTCCGTAATATCCGAAAGGAGTGGATAGATGGGAATGGCATTATCGAGTGGGAATTACAATAATTACAACAATTTTCCAACCATCACACTCATAGAAGCTACGCCAAGCCAAAAATTAATGGGTTCTAATCAACTATGCCAACATCAAATCACCACTAATTCAAATTGTTTATGATTGAACATTCTCCCAAGCCAATAGAACCCCAAGAATGTCTAAAAATCAAGTATACTGAGACGAGTTTCTTAAGATGAGAAGATTAAATTATTGATGCATAATCATTCCAAATTTTCTTGAAGGATATTTTTGATATATTCTCTTGTTCGAGCAGTGATAGGATCCGAGTCCATTTTAGGTCTCTCTATTCAAGTTCTACAAGATCTAAGGTTCGGAGATACGAGAATGAAAGAAAACTAAGTAAAGCTCACCTCCTCCGTAAAGGCAGGCAGATAGCAAAGGTCTCTGTAGATTCTTCGGCTAGATGTCTCTCCACCTGCATTATCCATTGAAATACTATCCAAGAATTCTGACGTTTCATTTAGGATACATTCCCACTTGAAATATTTTTTATGAAGAAGTATGACAACGCGGTAGAGTGAAAGTCAATGAAAGTCTTATCTTGTTAGATTAGCTGCTACGAATGTCAATGAAAGCCTTTTGTTTGATATTCCGTAGACCTCAATTTTTACGTAAGCGCACATTTTTCAATAAAATAATATTACAAGCAAATCTAATTTTTTTTAAGCACATATTTTACATTAATCTATTATTTCAAAACGGATTCTTTACCAAATAATGAGGATCGAAACTTTAGTATTTCTTGTCCCTATTAGTTCACGTGTAAATAATAATACACATATCATGAAGTATTGAATTTTTATATTTTGAGAGTACTAAAAATTTGGTCGACCAAACTGTACAAGCATTTACTCCATCAGCGCAGGGAAATGTCAATTGTAATGATGATCCAACAAATATCACCGCACACTTGTAGTGTTTCTTTTGGCACGGCGCAGACAAATGTACCTACGACTATACCATCCCCATCTTCAATCAATTACTTGGAATAAAAAAAAAAATCAGATGTACGGAAAAATCATAATGCCTATAGCTTTATATTAGAAATTGCACTATCACCCTTCAATCTTTTAGTTGAGTGGTTAATTAACCCTTAAACTTTTAAAAAGTAAAAAATTTATCTTCAACCTTTCACTAAAGTTGCAAGATTAAATGGATTTAGTGGATCACCGTCTACAAGAGGGGTCAATTTGAAAGACTTTTAAGTTCACATGATATCGATGTTTAATGAATATATGATCAATCCCAAGATTGATCTTCAATGTATTTTACAAATTGTTATTCAAGTGAGTTTAATTTCATTGACATTTAAAAAAAGATCACGTCCAAGCAACTTCATCTAGACGAACATTTCAATCGAACAGGCTTTTAGACATCTATTTCTTGTTTGTCACGTCAACTTGATCGAATCATTGTTAGCTTGCATTGAAGAGATTTTTTAAAAAATGTCATCCACTTTTAATTACGTGATAAACTTCTACAAGAACCTACAACTTTATTCAAAATGCTCTTAGTAGTGAATAATAATAAGACCTATCCAAATCTTTCATTGAATTGAGAAAAAAATACAATTTGTTAAGACCAAAAAGGGAATCATGCATCAAGTAGTCCTTGATAAATATCGTCATTCTAAATCTCGAGTTTGATCGTAATAGTGATAACTATAAATGAATAAATGAGCTCATGGAGAGGAAGGGTAAGTTTTCAAGTCAAAAAGGAGACATGGTCTCCAGCAATCTCTCAAACATGGTTCAAGATATGAAGTTTGGTTATGACATGATCATCGAGCAAGATTTCACAATACGCCTCGTACAACCACATGCATAATAGATATTAGACAAATCCCTCTAATTTCAATAATCTTTTACAAATACAAAGATTGTTTTACAACAATGAAAGGAATATTTTCGAAGCGTGGATCATGTACCTGTACATGATCAAGGGGTCTAATAATGGTGATCATTAACAAATTAAACAATGTACTCCATATCTTTAAACATTAGTTCCGTTTCAGAAACAAAATCTAGCCTTATGAACTTGACCACGTGAGTGTCAAGAACAAATACTCGAATGACTTCCATGTTTAAGAAGAACTTATTGTATGGTAATATCAAAAAATTAAAGAAATCAACTTGCTATTTTTTTAAAAAAGTGGTAGATTGAGGACCAATTCATCACCCAAGCCAAAAGTAAGAACCATGAGCTCAATTTTCCCATAGTATGCTTTAACCGCACACTTGTAATTGCCTGATGGGAGGGTTAGCCCCTTGCAATTAATAGTAGCCCTAGATCTAGGTATTGGTGGATCCCACTTCAAGAGATAAGACCCTCCAAGTTTCAAGGTCACATTGTTTGGTCAAAACAAAATCCAACCTTTCTAAAAGAAAATCTCATCTGTCCCCACAATTGGGCATCCTTAACCTAATCCTTTTCTTGTCTCTCCAATCCAGACATAAAGGTTGAAGCTAGAGTTTACCATTTTTGTACAAACTTGTTTATCTGGTTTTGTTTCCATGTATATCCATATCTAGAGAAAAATATAATTTTAAATAATGTATTAATAAAAAATATATACAGTCAGTTTGAAAATGAATTTTCCCCTAAAAAATTAATTTTTTAATCGTTATTTCACTATTCTATGTGTCATATTTGACTTCTTCTCTCACAAAAAAATCCCACTTTTTTCCTAACGACAAAAAATAATCCGAAACAGGCTCATAGTTAAAAAAAACTTAAATTTATGTATAAAATTATTTTACTAAAAACTACATGTTTAAAATAATGTCTAAACATTAATTAAAAATACAATTTCTTTTCTAAAGGAGACTCGAAACAAGATCCTAGCAGAATTGATCTCCTCGCCACACACATTGAAGAAAATTGCTCAGTATATGTAAATAAAAATTTACAACAAATCATGCTTATGTGAGGACTTAAATAATCTTTTATTGACAAAGTTCATCGTGAATCTATTCATTTTTATATAATTATAACTTCAATAGTTTCTGAAGTATTAGCTAACGTGTTGGAAGCTAAAACTGAACGGCAGAAAGCTTATAACAAAGATCCTAACTCAAAAATATTAACTTGCATTACAAGCTTATAACTTGAGCTTGTGAAAACACTGGTAATAAATAACTATGAACAACCTTAATTAATAAATAAAAATAAAGCAATCCATATTCTGGGCTACCTGTTCTTTTTGGCCAGCACAGGTCTTCTTGCAATGAACTCTCATCTTTTCTTACAAATTTTCAGCCCCCAGAAAAGAGAGATTGCTCTTCAAACTGAACTGCTAATATATTTACAGATAGATTGTACGGAAACTATTCGTTCAAAAACTAGGCGAAAACCGAACGACATCGTAATAACCAGCAGTTTATGCAGCAACATAATTTACAGAATCTTCAATGTGTTGCTCCCAAAATGACAAATTAACAGCTTTTCCCTTTTTCCAGTACTATTTGCATGCAGAATTAATAGAAGGCCACCAAAATATAAAACATGATTAGTTCAACATGTCAGAGACCCACCCGATGTCAGGGTTCGGGTCCTGAGCGGGGTTCGGGTTAAGGTTCCAGTTCAAGTGGTTAACCCTAACCAATGGATTCTCCTTGCTCAATCTCTCAAACATCTGAACCCTCAAATCCCTCCCTGATTCAATCCTCTCCGTAGGTGGCTCCTCGTAGCCAACGTCCTTGTCCCACCTGAAACCTGCCCGGGACAAGGGTTTGGTAGGAGTTGATGGTAGACTCAAGCATCCAGGTCGGGTAACGGATACCCGGGGCGAACCCAGCCCAGAGGGAGAACAACCCACTTGTAGATTCCAAGAGGAAGGTATAGACTTCACCTTGTTCAACTGCAGCTGGCGCAAAGAAGCGATTGTTTCGTTGATTGAATTCGATCCGAGCGACCGATTGAGAGAGCTCATGGAGGTTGTGGCGGCAGGGGTCATCGGAGACATTGGTGGCGACTCAGTCGGTGGAGAGCCAGAATCCGGCGATGATATGAATGCAAGCCGGCGTGGCGAGCCGTCATACGACTCGGCTCGTGGACTCAGAACCCGGAGCTGATCGGCCGAGTGAGCGAAGAAACAAACCCTTCTCTTACAGTTAAGACCATCCTTGCATGGCTGCGTACGATAGCGCGCCGGGTGAAGCCAGCACTCAAAAACCCCATGTGCGTATTCACATGCGTCACCCTTCTTGCAGGCCCCTTTACGAAACTCCGGGCACGCGGTGCCGGAATAATGAAACTTCCTGGGGTCCCTCCGGCGAGCCTTTTCACCGGGATGGGCGTACGGACACTCCGTCCAGTCATGTGACTTCCCACGCGAGCACTTCCTCACCTTGAACTCAAACATCCTGAATTGGTCACACGTGTGCGCGTCCACCGTTAAGTCCCCTTCCCCAACGGAGTTAGACGGCAAATAGCGCTGCAACGCCGTGAAAATAGAATAGTCATCAATGGAGCCGCCCCCGCCGCCGTTAACATTCATATTAGGGCTAAGAATGTAAGAGTTGGAATCATCTGTAGCGAAGGACCATGGAGGTACATGTTCCGTCTGGCTATCATAGTTTCTTACTCCGATCATCATTTTTTTGTGGTATTGTCGAACGGGTTCAGTTTGTTTATAAACTGCTGGGGTAATGGAGGTTCATCCATGGTTAGGGTAAATTTTAACCATGGTTACTGCACATGGGTTCGGGGGTAATAAAATGAATGGGTAATTGGCGCAAAACATCCTTACCTTTCGAGGTTATTGTGTAAAACGTTCCTACCTTTCATTTTTTGGCATTTTTGCCCTTATTTACCACCTTTCTTGCGCTGAAGGTCCTTTTCACTGTTTTTTGACGATTTTGCCCTCTATTCAAATAAAAGAAAAAGAATAGAATAGAAAACAAAAGAATTAATTGCAACTAATACCCCAAAATTTCAAAAAATTACAAATTAGTAATAAATATAGGAGTTAATAGCCCAAATGGTTACTAAACTTTGCCAAAGGTCCAAAAAGTCATTGAACTTTTTTATATACAAAAAGAAAAAAAAATCAAAAATACCAACAAAAAAAATTGAAGAAACGGGCCCCACCAACAAAAAAAGGACCAAAAATAATAATAATAAAAATAAAATAAGGAATGTGAAAATAGAGGAAGGTGAAAAGTAAACCAAAAATTATTTTTTATTTTTTCAATCGTACATTTTTAATCAAAATTTATTGAAAATTTTATTTTTAGCAAAACTAATCTGTATTTTTTTCTTTATTTTTAAAAATAAAATTTTCAATAAATTTTGATTAAAAATGTATGATTGAAAAAATAAAAAATAATTTTTGGTTTACTTTTCACCTTCCTCCATTTTCACCTTCCTTATTTTTTTTGTCTTTTTTTGTTGGTGGGGCTCGTTTCTTCAATTTTTTTTGTTGGTTTTTTTTTTCTTTTTGTATTTAAAAAAGTTCAATGACCTTTTTGGACCTTTGGCAAAGTTTAGTAACCATTTGGGCTATTAACTCCTATATTTATTACTAATTTGTAATTTTTTGAAATTTTGGGGTATTAGTTGCAATTAATTCTTTTGTTTTCTATTCTATTCTTTTTCTTTTATTTGAATAAAGGACAAAATCTTCAAAAAACAGTGAAAAGGACCTTCAGCGCAAGAAAGGTGGTAAATAAGGGCAAAAATGCCAAAAAATGAAAGGTATGGATGTTTTCCACAATAATCTCGAAAAGTAAGGATGTTTTGCGCCAATTACCCTAAAATGAATAGCATGTTCTTTCGTATTTTAAGTAAAGAACGTGGCACGATAACTGTAATTCTTACACGTGTATTTTGGATAAGGATACAAGCTTTTGTAGGCATTCTTCATCCCTTTTTATTGGGCTGTGAGGGAATTATATTACGGGCGTGTCGTTTTAAGGAGGTGGGTTAACTTAACCGACTCCCCTAAAGTTACGAGAAGGCGCTAGAGCGTCAGATACGAAAATATTTAGAAGTCTAGTTCATTAAAGAGACTAGTTTAAAATAATTTTAAATAATTTTTTTTAAAGTATATTTATTAAAATCGTGATGTGTCAACAGGATAGAACAATTCGGCCCAGGCTGCACATTATTTAAAAGGTTGAACCTCAAATTTGAGGCCGCCAAACGTCCCATCTCTAGAGTTTTGTGAGGAAGGTAAATTGTGGAATGTGTCTCAAGAGGTTAAGGAACAAGAACTGTCTGTACACAGTGCCTACAAGAAGTCTAATTCCATGTTACGGGAATCGAACCCCCACTAAAATTATTATGAATTGACAAAACTTCATAATTAACTTCCTAATAAGCAGGTCTTTCGGTGTTAAAATTTTCAATTAAATCACTCAAATAGGGTTTATTGATACTTGATAGTGGCGCTCTGTTCAATTCCCCGTCAATAAACCCTATCAGCGTAGCATGTTAGATAAATTTTTTCGAGGTAATGAACTTTTTAAATTTGTCTAACATGGTCAAATTTCATAGCTTGACCTAATTTAAACACTCATAGCCATCTATGGGTACTTAAACTATTTAAGTAATAGCTCAATAATAGAGCATTACCATAAGAGGGAGCAAGTATTGGCACACGTGGAGATGGAATTTATGAAGGCATGTGCTCCAAATTTTACAAGCACAGAATAGCACCTAATTTTCTTAGCTTTAGAATAAACTTTGGGTAAATCAATGCATAAAGTGGATATAGGGGAAAAAGGAACAGAAAAAGAAGGAAGGAGGCAAAATTCTCTTCTTAACTAGGGAGGTTTTGATATGAGTGAAAGGCTTGCCAAATGAATAATAAGAAATGAAGAAAGAAAAGGAAAAGTTTCTTTTTAAAAAGGTTGAACTCCAATCTTGAGGGGCCTCATCGTCCCACCTCTGGAATATCGTGAGGGAGGTCAATAACGGAATAAGAGTTTGTCTGTACATTGGTGCTCACAAAGAATCCAATTTCATATCTCAGAAATCGAATCCTCACACTGCGGCAACCAACAAGGCTGAGACTACCTCACTCATATTCTTTGTACCACTTGGTTATGCCTCGGAGGCTGAAAAAGTTTCTTTTTAATTGAACATTGGTATATTTAGTTGCAACATTTAAAAGATTTTAATATAATTTTATCAATTTTACCGGACATACATGTAAGTATCTTGTAGCGACACACCATGCACGTACATGGCAACACGAAGTTTATGAGATGGGCTATGTTTGGTTGAAGGAAATTAAGTTGGGTGAAAGTTGTGGCAGAGCCACGAGAAAAGGAGTCGAGGTGACAATTGTCCTAGTAATGAATATAAAATATATGTATATTTTGTCAATTCAATATTTGTTACCCCTATATTGTGGATATTGTCGTTCCACTACTGGTGAAATGGAATGAGGGGAGGAAAAATGACAAGAAAAGCTACCAAGAAAATGTAGAGAAAATTTTGGATTCTAGCATGGAGTACAAGCCCTAATTAAACGCAATACTCAGACTACTTACAAGAACCATGAGTTAACTAGCACTTAAGTTACTTAACCTTGTTTAAGATTTTTTGTCACCTTCGCGATCATACAGAGGATGTGTTTTTGATCATGTTAAGGTTTCTTGAGTTCTTTGTTCTACTCGATTAGGAAAAGTCGATAAGCACTTTTGCCCAACCCTGATTGAATAAATTCTTATGTGCATCGTACTAAGCCATTTAAGCTCTTTTCCTCTAATGTTTATTGTTTTATCTAAAATTCCATGTTATTTCAAATCTTCTAACTAGATTCTATTGAATATATTGTATTCGTATTGAGTCCAATTACTCGAGTGATAATGTTTGCAAATTTTCTTGAAAAAAAATTCAAATGATCAAGATTTAATTGTGAAAATTATTTTTCTAAAAATAAAAAATAAAAAAATCACTAGTCTAGATCTACATGGCAATATATTTGTCATTGTTCTTTGAAAAAAACTTTATATTCTTGTCACATCATTTTATAAATGCACCATATTTTAATTCATTACAGGTCCTTAACTTTTAATTAATATCATATTATACCTTTATTTTTATTTTTATTTAATCATATTCTTATTTTTTAACCTTTCACTAACTAAATCTTATCCCCAATCACGGATTTTGTCCAAAAACGCTGTTAGAGTGCTATGAAAGGAGGGATAAATATGATATATTAAATTCATAAGTTGACCTAATTTCCCATCTATGCCTAGTAAATTATTTATGTCATAGCTCAATAAGTGAGCATTACTATTAGAGTGAGTGCCATCTAAATATTTGATTAATTATGGCATAAACCTTGGCTGAATCAATGCACAAACTAAAATTCCAACCCAATCACATGTTCTGTATACATACTAGTGATTGATTCATGGTCTCCTTCTTGAAACACAACCATAAAAAATTTGAAAAAAATAAAAATAAAAGAACCACGAGATTTCTTCTTGACTAAGGAGGTTTTAGTATATATATTAAAGAGGAAATTTCACGTAATGTCCATTTTCAGCGAGTCATTTACCAAAATGTCCACAATTTTGTCAATGTCCATTTTCGAATTATGTAGACGAAAATACCCCTGTTAGAAATATTATTTTCACACAAGAATTCAAAATTTTTCATATCACTATTCATGTCAATCAGCGTAGAAATGTCAATCAGCATTAAATGCCTGGGTTGGATAGGTGTGGGTCGATGTGGGTCGGGTTATGGGTCAAGTAGGTGCGGGTCGAATTGGATCGAGTTATGGGTAAAAAATGGAAAACCTGATATAACTCGACCCGAATACAAAAAAAAAAGAAAAAAAGAAATGAAGGCGGGGGAATGAAAAAATAAAAGAAGCCCTAAACTAAGTCCTCTTAACTCTCACTCTCAGTCTCTCAATCTTCACTCTGACCCAACTCGCCGACAACGAGCCTGTACATTTCTCTCTTATTTTCCCAGTTGCCGTTTGCCCACCACACTTCAGAGTCCAGTGCTATAGAGTAAGTTTATTTCGTTATTTTTTTTTATTTCGTTATTTTTTTTCACTTCCCCAAGTCTCCCATCTTCCTAAATCCTAAGATTTGGCTAGTTTAACATAAATTGATGTCAAGGTCACTGAGTGTCTCTATTCTATTGGGCGAGCAAATACTAACTGTTGATACAATTTGAGATAAAAAGTGGTACATGCGAGATACTGTCAAAAAGGTTGAAGAGGTAAAGTGTTTAAAGAAATCAGGAAAATGATTGTACTTTCTGTTGTCCCTGTTATTGTATTTTTACTTTTGAGATATAATCTATATGTGAACTAAATTTGATGCTGCTGGATGATAAATAACACTAGTACGAAGTGAAGAATACTCCATTTGAGGCATATTTCGCATCTGAGTTAGGCAATAAACATGATGAAATGACACAGATTGTGTTGCTATTATACACTCTTAAGACCGTTTGAATGCTAATCAGCAACTAAATGGCTTCATTTTCGCATCAAATTTGTTATGCATCTTGTTGAGGGTTGCATTTGTATATTGATGGTTTCTTATGGAAGAAGACTGTGATAGGTTGATAACAGATAGAAAACTTTGTCAAATCTTACGTCATGTATACTTGATTTTGCGTATGGTCTGTTGTAGTTAGCTCTAAATTTATTTAATACAAGGCTATGTTGTTGTTATTTATTTTGTTAAAGAATATTGTATTTTCGACTTATTTGCATATCTAAATTAGGCAATTAACTTAATGAAATTGTAGAAGATTGTGTATATACTTTTGAACTGTTTGAATGGTGATCAACTATAAAATGGTTACATGATAGCTTCAGATCAGAAGTTAGGTTTGTTTTAATTTCAACAATTAAACAACTTAGTTTAGATATGATATTTTATCAAACCATTGTATTGTAAAAATTATTTTTCTTGCACTGCATTTTAACAAGAATGTTATATTTGATTTCATTTGTACGTTCTCATAGTATTTGTTAAAATATTGTTTTCATTTGTAGATGAGTATGACACACCAATATAATATTCCGGAGGAAGAACGTGTTCCGGCCCATGTGTCGCAAGTGAGCAATACAAAATATATATCAGTTGTCCTCAACAAATTGGATCCACAGCAAAAGCGTCAGTTGGAGGACAGTTGTATAGGACATGTTGCAAGGTTACGGGAATTGAAACTATCTGCTCAATGAATTCATGAAATGGTAAACAGATCGGTGGTATGCCGAAAGCGGTTTGAGGCTTGGTTCAAGGTGAACCAAAGGTTTGCACGATTTGGACTACCGGAGTTCGCACTAATTACTGGCTTGAAGTGCAGTCCAGTGCCTAAAGGTGCCGAAGTTGACAAAATCCTAGAGAAAACCCGTCTACAAGATAAAATGTTTGCTAATATGGACCGAATAACGTGTAGCGACCTGGAGAAAGCTTTTTTGAAATGTGCCAACCGTAACGATCATTACAAGCTTGAGTTGGCACTAATTATTGAAGGGGTATTTAATTCAAGAGATCGAAATGTAGGAATAAATTCGACAACTCTTTCCATCGTTGACGACTTGGATTTTTTCAATGCCTACCCATGGGGGACAGTATGTTTTCAACTTCTCATCAAATCACTACTACGTGGATGGGGAAGAAAGGCGGACATGGTAAAAGTGAATGATTGTGATAGGATGACCTACACATTGTACGGATTCCCTCTTGCTGTCCAGGTATACATCTATTTTGGTTCATTTCAATTCTTCTCATCGCTCATTGTTATTTATCTCCAAATATGTTTATTACTGTTACAAATGTCATGCAGATTTGGACGTACGAGGCAATTTCGGAGTTGGGAGCTTGATTCTCGAGTAAGACTTGTGACGATGTCCCGAGGATGTTGCGGTGGTCTGGCATGAAACAACCTCATTCCTGAACATATTCAGATTTTTTTGAGAAGACAAATGTAGGCGATTTACATACTTAATTGCCTTACACTCCGCAATATATATTTTTTCATTTCACCTATTTTTCTTCTCCTGTAGGTGCACTTGTGGGCTACGCTGCGAGCAACTGCTGCAAAAGAATTACAGTCGTACTTCGTCGATCTAGTTCCGTTGGAAGACGCAGCCGACCCCGTTTTAGATGATCTTGTTGCTCAATCAATAGAAATACAAGCTTGTCCAGTTGACGATGATGTCATACGGAACGATGACAACAACCATCGATCAAATAAATCCCAGAGAGGCAACAAAGGTGGACCTCGTCATCGAGGTTTGCATCTGGTTGAAGGCAGAGAAGAAGAGTATGGGGATCCCATCGTTGAAAGACATGTGTCTTTAAATGAGATAAGAGTTATCTTGAATGAGCAACGGGAGGCATTTGAGAGCAAGATGGGGGATTTGAGGAAAGAAATAAACACAAGATTCGCTAGTCTCCAAAATGATCTGGGAGGTCATGTGTGTGGTTTGAGAAATCATGTCACTGATGAGATGAATGTTCTTCGACGAAGGTTTGATGAAGTTGCTACAGAAATTGGACAACACAATGTTGGTGCTGAGTATGGTGGATTTGGTCATGATGATCGCAGTGGAGATGAGCCCCGACATGATGTTTTCACTCCCAATATTTTTGCAGACAGACAGGATGTCGGAGAGGCAACCGAACCAGTTGTTTGCAATATCCCTGATGTGTCCATAACGTCAGGAGGTGGGGTTGGAGTACTTGGGTCAGTATATATTGCTTGTGATATTGTGAAAGAGGCACCAGCCGTTGTACCTACAGTTGGTGTGACCATTGATGATCAACTGGTTCATGATAGCACCGTTTCTGGACCTTCGATGGCAGCTGATCCACCTACACATAGACCTCGATCGTTGAGGCTGAAGAAGGCTAGTGTAAACACAAAGACGCCACACACGATCTGGTCGCAAGAGGGGTAAGAGGGATGCGTAGAATTTAGAGGTTTACCTATTTTGATTTATATGGTGGTTTTTCAATATGTATTTTGGTTTATGTCGTGGTGCGGAAAATTTATTTTGGTTTAGACAGTGGTTTGCATATTTTTGTTTATATGGTGGTATGTAATATTTTATGGATGTAAACCGGTGGTTGAAAATAGTTTATAACTTTATTATCTCATATAGTGGAGTAGGAGATGTCAATGTTCTAATGAAATGTGGAGAAATCCTATACTTTAGTTGAAATGTCGTTCTATACAAATGTACTGTCAAGTGTCCAGATTAGTAGACATTTAATGTCGAGAACTACACGTCAAATGTCAAGAAATGAGTGAAATGTCAAGAAATATATTGTTTCAATATAAATGTTAACATCCCTTATATTTTTGTTTTCAATAATATGTGAACATATGTGTCATTTTGTGTGATCATGTATGTGGAAATAAAATAAATTTCGTGCTACTTAGCAGTTAGTGAGGAAAAATTGATTAACTCGATCAGTTTTAATAAATTAAAGAAATTTATCGAACATTTTTTTTTCAACATAAAATTTGAATTGTACAAAACGTTAATATATTTTTTTTGTGAATATAAAATTTTAATGGAACAAAATGAATTAAAAAGAAATTTATAATTTGTCAAATTACAACACAAGAAAGTTTAAAGAAACCACTGAATATTGCGGTGAGTGAAGGTTTGCAATCACAATAAATTAAATTTCGTAGTTAATATGTATAATATATGTTACATATATTTATTGCATTAGCATATTGAGTTGGAGCTGAAGTTATTGAGGCAGCGTATGAATGAAGATTGTACTCTCGTCAATAAAAAATATGCAATTTTGAATTTTCAATTTGAAGAGGAGTGTTGTCAGCAAATGAGGTGGCACATGGAATATAACCAGACAGGTGAATCAGATGGAACTCGCCTACAAGGTATGTCAACGGTACATTGCCTGTAGCTGGTCGTTCGTGAATGGGATGCAAGTATTTATTAATTCCAAGTGCATATCCAGGGAATGAATGTTATCTGTTTCTGGTCAATATTCGTGAATGGAAATTCTATATATACGACTGCAGCAATAATGTTCACACACCTGATGCAATCAAGGCTCACGCAGAAGCAATATGCACAGTCGTTCAAACATTATTGCAGTGCGAACCCCTGTCCACCAGACGAGATATAAAGAAACATATAAATGATCCAATGAAGATGGAGATTATACCTTATCTACCGTGTGCGAACAATGGGTGAGCATTTCAACTCTTGTTATTTACTACCGTAGTTAATCTATTGTATATACTAATTTAGACTAACGAAAAATCATTTATTGTACATGCCAAATTGTATAATGTTTGTACTCAAATATATAGAATGCTTCATTCTCGGGTATCCAATAGAATCAGTTTCAGCAGAGAGAATGTCAATATACAGAAGAAAGATTGCGGTCGATTTTTTGAATAACGAATACTTTCTTTATCCCCGATAGTGAAACAGTTGTCGTGGCTGAACTGTACTTCGCTTGTGTAACTGTTGATGATCAGCCGGTTCATGATACCGCTTTTTGCAATATGTATTTTGCTTTATGTGGTGGTACATAACATGAATTTTGATTTTATGTGGTGGCACGTAAAATGTATTTTGGTTTACACAGTGGTTTGTATATTTCGATTTATATGGTGGTATGTATTATGTTCTCGAAGTGTCATTCTAGACAAATGAAATATCAAGTGTTGAGATTCACAGCTATGTAATGTCGAGAACGACATATCAAACGTCCGAAAATCGAAGAAATGCAGAGAAATATCGTATTTTGGTCCAAGTGTCGTTCTAGACATTCGTAATGTCAAGTGTCGAGATTAACAGCTATTTAATGTCGATAACGACATTACAAATGTCGAGAAGGCATCAAATGTCAACATAAATATGATCCAACCAAATTTAACTAAGAGTGAAGGCAACCAAATGATGTATTAACTGCGAAAACTGTAGCAAGCAGCTTTATAATTACTATAGCAGTTAGAGTTGGTATGCCAAGCACAAGTACGTTCTCAACCATATTGATGTGAAAAAAAGTTGTAAAATAATCACCATCAATGACTTCAACCATATTGGTTGGTGAGATATCTTATCGTGCATTCAACGGACAAGTGTTTCTCCAGTATAAAATGTTGAACTTTACTTAAATATGTACATACGAGAATTTAACAAAGTCATAGCACTAGTTAGTTTTTCCATTGATTATGTCTTCATCAACTCAACATACTCCTGCTCTTGATGTTACTATCACTTTCGACCCCCCTGGGTCGTCCGCGGACAACTCGATCATCAGTGACTCGGACTCGAATGATGAAAGCAATATTTTTGTTCCATATGTTTGTCAACCTTCGAACCGCCATCGTAGGGTTTGCCTTCAACCAATCCCTTTTTCGAATCTAATCGACGAAATTGAACCAATTCAAGTTCATCGTGAGATCGTCCCAGTACCAGTCCAACCGGAAGCACATCATGTGTTGTTGGATGAAAATGTTGGAGCAGTTCCCGTAATAAATGAAGATGTGATCATCATAAGCTCCAACGAGGAGTACGACAGTGATATGTCCTCTTTGTCCGTCGTAGAGGATATGTAGAAGATGCAATCATCGTAAGTGAAATGTTTACGTACATATAGTAGTGCTATAAAATCCATATAGGTGATGGATAATTTTTTGGGTGATCACCATTTTGTATAATAGTTGTCTACGATATGTATTGGAGTTATGGCTTCCTTTTGTTGTGATTACCATTTTGTCTGGTCCAATGACTTAGGAGAACGAGTCATTCATAGCTTGTTTTTGTATCCATTACCACATTGTGTCTACAATGATTAAGAAAATCTCAGTGATGAAATAGATATATACTTATTCACTTATATGATGAACAAAATGATATCGTAGTGAAATGTTCATAAGAATATATGTAAGCACCATTTCCCTTGTTGGTGGTTATACCCCAAACCTGGCCTCTCTTGTTTGTATCCAGTATGACATTCAAAAATGAAGTGTTGTTTGTATTTAGTGAATGCCCATACGAATTTTCCTGTTTGTGCACTATAAAATTTTGAACGACTAGAATAATATAAGAGAAAAATCACAAAAAATGGGAGGAATCCGTATAAAGGATTCAAAATATATTACAAATTTAATTTTACAACAAGCAATTGCAAATAAGTGATATCAAGAGAGAACGAAGAAAGAAACAGAAAGAAGTAGAAGTCAAAAATATATTCAACAACATTTAAAATAAGAGGTAGAAAGCAAGTAATACAAAAGAAAAAAAATTCAAAACATTGATAATTCATGTTATCAGGGCATTTGACGATCAGAATACACAATGTCATTCAAGTATACGTGTCACTTAAAGATGTCGAATTCTGACATGTTTGCCTGTTATGTCCAGAACCCCCACATCGGCCGCATTTTCGTCTCAACGTGGACCTTTCAGTTCTTGACCGTTGACGTTGGGTAGGAGGTCGACCTGGTGCTCTACGTATATTCGGGGGCAAAACTTCGACGGAACAAATAGACTGAGGAACAACGCAATCTGACTCTCGGCCAACGGGGTGAAGAACTTCATTGTACGCAGCTCGCCAATATTCTGTGGTGTAGTAAAAGGAGCACAAATCATACAATGATTTTTCTTTTGCGCAAGCAGCTCGGGATGCATGTGAACATGGGATTTGTTGCATCTGAAACTCTCGACATGAACGTGTGTTACCTATAAGGTCGACAGTACAAAGTTCGGTAGCTATACCTACCTCAAAAACGAGTTCGTCCAAATTTCGTACTGGTAAAGTTGCACCGACGTCGAATGATTTTCTCAATTCATCATCAATTTTTGGTGTCACAGTTGTACTACATTTCGTGGATGCACTTTTTCTCTCGTAGAACCATCGTTGCATCAATGACGTAATATTTTCGATTAACGAGGTTATATGGAAACTTCTTTGTCGCCTTAGGACTGAATTCAGTGACTCCGCAATGTTATTCGTCATAACGTTGTACCGATTACCAACAAAATGTGCCCGTGACTATGTGGATATACTGACACGTTCCAAGTAAGATGCCATTGACGGTCGAATGGTTCTTATCTGTGTCATAAACTGATCAAATTCCTTCTTGCCTGCTTTGTCTCTGCTTGAACACGGAAGCTCTCAAGCGGGCTAAACTACGGCTCCAAAGGATCGTGCAGTGGATGTGCTATACCTTGCAATAAGATTTTTCTCGATATGCCAGATGCAGGCACCGTGGTGAGAAAGTGGGAACAACCTCGTAATTGCCCGCTTAATACTCTTCTTCCTGTCTGACACAAACACTAGCTGGTTTGGATCATCAATGGCATTTTTCAACTTTGCAAAGAACCAATACCACGATGCATTTGTTTCCCCATCGACAACACTCCACGCAAGAGGATATATTTGTAGGTTAGCATCTTGCGCTGCAGCTACTAGTAGTGTTCCCTTATATTGGCCCTTCAAATGACTTCCATCAACACAAATTACTGGCCTCATGTATTCTCGAAAACCACGTACACTAGGCCCGAACGCTAAGAAGAAGTACAAGAACCTATTACTCGAGTCGAGTTCAATGTGTGCAATAGTTCCTGGATTTTTGTCGGTTAACATGTGACAATATGATGGCAATTTCTGGAAACTTTCTTCGGGTGTACCACGAAGAAATCGAAGTCCCTTCTCTTTAGCCCTCCACGCTTTGTTGTAGGTAATCCGTACACTAAACTCACGTTCCATATCCCCAATAATACCCGCAGGAACGTATGATTGGTTTGCATCATCCAACCTTCGCATTATGTGATGCCCAATTATTGCACTCGTTGCGTGAATTTGTGCATTTCGTCGAACGTCTAGAGAACATGTGTGCTCAGGTATGTACTCTCGAATCGTAAAGATTTCTGAAGTTTTTATCTTAGAAGCTCGTACTAGCCAATGGCATGTAGTATCGACACAACACACAGTAAGAGATTTATGATTCGACTTTTTAACTTTGAAATGAAACTTCTCTTTCAAAGCCTTAAGTTGAAGCCTTGTGTGTAACTGTCGTTTGCTAAAGAATATCTTATTCTCCACNGGCCAGTCAAATGTAACCAATCTTCATTAGGATAATCTTTTCTAATTGCTTCTGCTGTCTGCAACAAATGAGTTTATTAATGCTGCTAGAAAATGCCTAAGGAAAGAAAAAGATCAATTGCTGTGAAGAGATGTTATTACTTAAGCTGCTAAACATGAGTTTTAAAGTTACGTTTTTACTAACAAATCTTATGTTATGAAAGTAGTCTTAACCTACTCTTTACAAAAGTGACTTTTAATTAAGTAACCACAAACATGCTTTGAGTGGATGAATAATTGAGAATAGTTTCATGAAATTTACTTTTTTTTTAAAAAAAATTGTTTTTACATTAATGACTATAATCATTTTACCACAAAATTTCTTAATAAAACGGGACTATATCTTTTGACTGGATGAAAGTTTAATATGGTATTCGTTTTCATGTTGACTGAACGGAGCCACAAAAGTAAAAAAGACCAAGGCAAAATAAGAATTTTATTGAAAAAGTTGATAGAGATGGACGATATTTTGAACCAACTAATTAATTAGAATAAGTTAATATTAATTTAACATATATCAAATTTAATGAAATCAAAATAAATTTACTTTCCCTAGTATGTCATTTAACATTTATTTTAAAATTAACAAAAGAAGAATTATTACGTCACATAAGAGTAAGAAAAAAAGTAACATATTCAAATACACTCATAATTTATGAACAAAATCAATTAACTTTATGTGGTGATTAGAATAATAAAGGCAATAGAAATTAATATTGTTTTTTTTTTTTGGGGAAATTGTATAAATTTTAAATGGTATTATTTTCAAATTGATCGATATTTTTAACTGAAAGAAGGAAAGACGACTAATCTTTGCAGTGATGAACTGAACACGAATGACGAAAAAATAATCACCTGGCGAATTTAAATCAATTAAATTATAATAGTCGAATAATTAGTGGTGAGTGTGAACTTGAGAAAATTTAAACATGGATTATTTAATTTTCAATTATTGCACAATGGGACAAAATTAAAACAAGGTTATAAGTTTTAACACAATGGGCCAATCTTAGAACAAGGTTATAAGTTTTAAAACAATGGGAAATACTTAATTTCCAATTATAGCAGCATTTGTTGCAGACAGCAGAAGCAATTAGAAAAGATTATCCTAATGAAAATTGGTTACATTTGACTGGCCTTATTCATGTTATATACTAACTAACATTCCTTAGACATATTCTAATAAGATCAAGATTTTATTTCCATGCAATGCACCTTAAGGTGAAGTGAATTCTATAGTACTGGACAATATTAAAAAAGATATAAAACTATCGAGTTCTGATCATTACACCATGCAAAACATGTTTGGAGTTTCATATCTATTCTAAAGATCATTTTTTCGTCGGCTGCAGATCTTGGAAAAGTTCTTCTTACGGAGTTTGGAGAGCTTCCTCAATGGGCTGTTGTTGGTGAGTATTGCATTATTATCGTCGAAATTCTTATAATTTTGAATTATCATTCCAATATGACAAACCAAATTTTGTAACATCACAGGAGACACATTCCCACTTGGTTGTGCATTTGATGAATCCATTGTTCACCACAAAGTAATTAATTATTGCACATTTTGCCCCCATTTTCTATATTGCAAAGGATTTGGCTGATGCTTAATTAAATATTAATGTGCTGCAGTATTTCAAGGACAATCCAGATTCCAAAAACCCTGTTCATAGCACTAAGAATGGAATTTACCAAGAAGGATGTGGACCAGAAAATGTTGTGATGTCTTGGGGCCATGATGACTACATGTACATGGTAAGACGAACAAAATTTTACAAGTTTTTTCTTCTTCAAGCTCGTCCAACATTGTCCTACCGATTGAGCATAACAAACATGCCATAACTGCTTAATTTTGACGTGGCCACGTTCTCAATATTTTCAGGTAGCTACAGAAAATGGAACGACGCTGCCTTCAGCTGCATTATTTATCATCCGATACCACTCTTTTTACCTTAAGTGACAAGTCGAATAACTTTTCTTAAGACTAATTAAGCATATGATGTAATTGCTAAATTGTATGACTGAGATTGAATAATATAATGCAGCTCTACACAAGTCAGGAGCTTGTACATATTTGATGAATGAGGAAGATGTAGAGAATTTGAAGTGGCTTCATTTATTCAAGTAAATTTCGTTTTCTCAAGCTTTCTTTAATGTAATTTTCTAAACAATTCGATAGACTTCAACATTTTGAATTTTTTTTTTTATTTGCAGTAAATATGACCTTTATAGTAAGAGCAAAGTTCGTGTCGATGTTGAAAGAGTAAAGCCTTACTACCTTTCCCTCATTGAAAAGGTATGTGCCTTTTTGGCCATTCATTTTAGAACAAATTTTCATATTTGAATTTTCTCCTTAGTAAGATGCAGCAATTTTTTTATTTTTATTTTTAATCTTTTTGCAGTATTTCCCAGCCAAACTTAGATGGTGAAAATTTTGGTAAAATACATGAAGAAATACTGGGCAAGCGGAAGACAAATTTTGTTTGCTTAATAAACTCAAGATTTGATGTAAACAGGCAAAAAAAAATAAAATAAAATTGCACTGGTTAAATGTTTATCTTTAAAGAGTCGTGTAAAGTTCCTTTGTTCTCGATGTAATGTCCTATCACTTTGGTGATTTTTCTTCTATATTAATTTTCTCTTGTTGGTAAAATATTGTATAAGATGAGATAATCTATTTTCTAGTAAAACAATTTTTATATATTCTATTTAAAGAAAAATATTCATTTTTAATTGGAAAAAAAAATTCAATAGAAGATTGGCTAATAATAATGTAAGAATGTTGCCAAATCGCTTGGCCTCCATTCCCTTGTTTATGCAAGTGGAAACTCATACAATGACAAACGATAATTTTACAAAGTTAGGCAACGAATAAAGTTAGGTGATAAGCAAATTGTAAACAATATAAACTAATTAGATGAATCTACCAAAAGAAGAGAAGAAGAACTAATTCTTGAGCCGCCAAAAAACTAGGTTTTAAATGAAAAAATAATGTTTATGTATACAAGAAGACTAAAATAAAAAGGAAACCTACCAAAAATGGAAACTAATATATATATATATATATAACAAAAGGTAGGAAAATGGTGCCAGTATGTAGATGATGGCAAATCAAATGATAGTTAATCTCAATATGCTTTGTGTGATCATGAAATACAGAGTTGTGAGTTATCTAAATAATTCTTTTATTGTCACAATACATAGGGGTTGGAAAGGAAGAAGGAACACCCACATTTGCAAGTAACTAACGTAACCATACAATTTTAGTGGTGGTGGATTCCATAGCACGATACGCTGCCTGAGTAGAGAAACAAGAACACAACAGACTGTTTCTAACTCTTTCAAGAGATAAGGAAATCATCCAAAAATATACAAAAGTCAGTAGTGGACTTATGATAAGTGGGTTACTTGCCCAATCAGCATTAAAGTAAGCATGGAGCACCAAAGGGAAGGTTGAGGGAAACAGAAGACTTTAAAAGCAAGTACCACGAAGATAGTGCAAAATATGAACAACAGCTTCGCAGTGAACTTTAATTGGAGCCGAAACAAACAAACAAACTAACAATGTAAATAACATAAGCAATATTGGGAGCGTGATGGTGAGATAAACCAAATATCCAACAATGGTGCGATACAAAGTTGGATTAGTCAAGTGTATACTGTTAGAGGGTGAATAAAGAACATTGGATTCAAGAGAAGTATCAGTAGTTTTCGTATCAGTAAGATGAGCACGCTTAATAACATCCATAATATACTTAGATTGAAAGAGAAGATAACATCTATCTAAAGAAGCAACTTCGATTCCCAAAAAATAAGATAATACACCTAAGTCATTAACGACGAGCCAATTTTGATTTTCAATCAGTTACCCATTAACATCATCATCAATAATAATCATATCATCAACATACGGTAAGAGCAGAATGCGAAAAACTGAAGTGCACATAAAGAATAGTGTGGAGTCATGACTGGTTGTGAAGCCAAAAGAGGTAACAACAATGGAAAATTTCTCAAATCAGGCAAGATGAGCTTGTTTAAGGCCATAATGTACATTTTTGAACTTACAAACACACCCAGAAGTATGAGAAAGACCAGGAAAAGGAATCATATAAAACCTCTTGAAGATTTCCATTCAAAAAGGCATTTTTAATACCCAACTGAGAGAGACTCCATTAACGAACAGATGAAACTATAATAAGCGTACGAACAGTGATCATCCTGGAAATAGGGGCAAAAGTATCCTTGTAATCTAGATGAAGCTATTGATTAAAATATTTAGTAACCAATCTAGCCTTATAAAACTCAACTGAACTGTAAAATCTTGTTTTACTTTTATAAACCTAACAAAAACCATTAGCATGTTTACCTGGAGGTAAGGCAACCAAATTCCAAGTGTTTGTTTTATGTAGAGCAGAGAGTTCATCAGCCAAAACCTGTTGCCGAAGAGAATCCAGAAGAGCTTTTTTATATGAAGAAGATTCAAATAACTTGTGAATGGAGGAAAGAATACAGTAAAAGGACTCTGAATAACAAGAATAAGCATCGTGAGTTTGTATATCTTCCAGTTGACTTTTAGAAACTAAAAATTTCAAACGACTAGTGAAAACATGTCCAATGAGAGAATGCCACAAATAAAAATTAGAATAAGAGGAATTTAAAAAGAAAGATGACAAGTCAACACCAAATGCTGCAACATGTGGTGTTCTCAGATTGTCCAGAACATATAACTCTCATTGTCTACAATCTTTCCTAATCAGTTTCTAAGATCGAGGATCCTACACATGACAAGCAATAGAAGAAAACTGAATGTAGTATCCAAAATTACATTATTGACCAATATAAATAAGATTCAAAGTAAGAGTTGGAATATAATAGATGTCTGAAAGTAATAAATTATGTGTTGACAGAGCAATGGGTGCCATCAACAGTCATAACGACACAGACGAGTTAGAAGGGCGTAAGTCATTCAAGAAATTTGAGTTGACATAACATGTAGCTCTGTGGCTAAAAAAATTTGAAATAGCTCTGCTAAATCAGTTAATATGGGATTGGAGGAAAGTGGTGCTCCAAGTATAGACGAGTCACCAGGTAGCATTGTGACAGCTATGTTAGCATTGTGATGATATGATTGTTGTTGTAATTGTTGTTTCTTCAATAGTTTAGGACATCAGGACTTTCAATATGCATTTATTTTCAAAAGTTACCCTCATCACTAACAATTCTCATATAACCTTGGTTTTGATTCTATGTGGACGGTCGAGATGGTACAGCTAATTCTGACGTGTTAGATGGAGGAAGAGATACTTCTTCTATAAGAATTTTCAAACGTGTTTCCTTAGCCACGAATTTACTAACCACTGAATCAACTGAAGGAAGTGGAGTGCGATACAAGATAGAGCCTCTAAGTCTCTTAAAATCACTGTGAAGTGTCATAAAAAACTGAACTAATCTCTACTCCTTTATAAAAGTAATATATTTTTTACATGCTTTTAGTCCTACTGATTCTGTAAGAGCCAACTCGTCCCAAATTGAATTCATAGCAATGTAAAACTCAAGAATACTGGTATTATTCTGTTGTAAAGCCTGTATATCAATTTCCAACCGATACCGTTTTGAAAACTTAGATTTAGTGTATAACTTCTGAAAGTAACCCCAAACTTCTTTTGCTCAAACTTCACCAACTGTGTACCAATAAATTGCTTAACAGAATTATGAATCCAAGTATGTATTTTCACATCATTTGACTCCCACATAGCAAACCTTGTCACATAATTATCAACAGTGTTCACAACAATTCCACTAACATAACCCCAGTATCATTTTTCCTTTTAGGAAATTCCTTATCACAATACTCCAATAAGAATAATTTTTACAATTTTAATCTGACATTAATGAATTGAAGTGAATTATCCCTTTTAATCACCATTATAGAATCAACAAATAATCAACTATGAATCAAGCAAATCACGAAATTCTAAGAAAATCAACCACCAATGCACCGCCTCTAACTAACACCATAATATATTGCACAGTACAGTACAATCAAACGAATACCACCAAATGATCAAAACTCACCAAGGAAGAAGCTGCCTTTTAGATTCACCTCGAAATTCTCATTCATCCTCATTCTCTACTGCAGACACTCCGTGCGTGACCTTACGCTTCGTCGTTCACCATCATGTGCCTAATCAGAAGGTTCTTCTAGATCTGCAAAGCACTGATATGGTCTTAGTTTTCTCAAAGAATGTCTGGTTCGGCCAGAAAATAAGAAACCATGTTGAGTTAATGGGTAGGGACAGAACTTTGTGTTATGATTTTCTACAGATTTTACCAATTTTCTCTACAGATTTTACTCAACCATAGGCTCTGCTACCAAGTAAACAATATAAACTAATTTGATGAATTAACCAAAAGAAGAGAAGAATAAATTTTTGAGCCACCAAAAAAACTAGGTTTCTATTGAGAGAATAATGTTTATATTTGCACGAAGAGAAAACTAACAGAAAACCTACCAAAGAAAGGAAATTAAGAGGGTGTTTGATACCGATTTTATTGTAAAAATACATTTTAGAATAGTAAATTGATGAGAAATGTGTGGTTGAAAAATAAGGAAAAGTTTTTGATTTACGTGTAATGTTATTTTAACAAAGAATGTGTGGTTGAAAAGAAGAGAGAGAAAAATGTATTTTAAAAAAAGGGTACCAAATGAGGCCTAATAATATTATGCATAAATATTATAGTAGTAATGCTATTCATTGTCGCTCACTACGATAATCTTCTATGTGACATCCTACATGACGATTTGTAATTTGATGTATTACTGTGAATTTTTTTTTTCTTATTTCATATATCAAATCACTAACCGCCACACACATGTCAGGTAAGGCGACAGTGACAATGACACATATGCAAGTTATGTGGTTAAATTTTTTTGATTGAGACACGATAGAAAATCTTGAATGAGACAAGATTAACTTATGCCTTAAAACAAATTTGCCATGTGTTGGTGTTCATGCAAGACAGACGAGAAAACAAGAATGCTTTTGAATTTTTACCTTGTTAAAAATAAAAAAAAAAAAAAAGGTTGAACTTCAATATTGAGGGCCCCCACCGCCCCGCCCCTAGAGCATCGTGAGTGAAGTAAATCGAGGGATGTGCCCCAATAGGTCAGGGAACAATAACTTGCCTGTATACTGGTGTCCATAAAGAATCAAATTACATATCTCAGGAATCGAACTCTCACACTGCGACTATCAACAAGGCTGAGACTACCTCACTCATGCCCTTTGTACTACTGGATTACGCCCTGAGAGGCTACCTTGTTAAGATTTTTATACCTTAAAATGATGTATTGTGACTTCAGTGTCTATATGGGTTTTTATAACAAATTATAATTGTTCCAACTAAAACATCCATGATGACGAATACC